CACGGCTATACCTAGTGGGAAAGACAAAAGGATGAGCTGACGAGGTCACGCCAGCCTCGCCGTTGACAGCTCTTCTGACATTCACGGCTATAGATAGTGAGAAAGACAAAAGGGGGGAAACAAAAAAAAAACGAAGAAGGGTCAAAAAAAAAAGATACAACAGGTATACACGTATCAGTCTCCCGCTTCGAACTACCAGTCCCCCACTGTATGTCGTCTGCCAACTAGCTGCTCTTGCACGAAGCAGAGAGGTTGGGTAGCTTGCCCAACAAATGGTTTGGAAAAACTGCTTCAGGGGTACTTGTGATTTAAGAGAATAAATCAGGCGGAGGACCAGACATGTTCCATAAGTTTGGGTGGTCTTGGTCCAATGCCACGCACATGCTGAAATCAAAAGGTTATAAGTTGGTTATATTTTATAAGTACTTTATCTATGAACAGACTAGTCAAACATTGTTCCATAAATTTGGGTGGTATGACTATAGCTTATCACAAATTGAAGAGAGTATGAGTTAAGAATAAACTTGTGATACGAAGGGGCAAACTGAACCTCGAGCTAAAGATGATCAGTTCACTTATATGCTACCTCAAAATATTAAGTGTAGACAGTTCTATATAACTTGGCTATCCTAAACAGTTCAGGGTGACTAGGGCGGCCTAGTCACTTGCCCAAGGAAGAGAAAAGTTGTAGTGCCCTATGTTTGTGTATACTCAATGGTTGACCTAAACATGTTTCATAAGTTCGGGTAGTCTAGCTTTTTGCCTTATGTAAGCTGGGTATAATGGATAAATCATTGAAAGACTATGAACTATTGTTTGACAAGGTTGACTTTGGGTTGATGAGGGTACTTACCTTTGTGGTTTGGCTTTCCATGTGGCTGAGTTGGATTACTACTTAGTCTGAGTTTCAATTTGGACAGATACTTGCTTCCCACGTGCTAGAGCGATAGCAGTTAGTTCAATTTCTGCATTTTCTAAACTAACTTTCTTTCGCATTTTCTGGGATCATTTCTTATACTTGACTTTGAATAAATCTTGGTAAATTGCTTTCTCTACGGGAAGCGCTGCCGAAATTTCTGCAAAACCAAGGAGTTAGTCAAAACTTGACCTTTCAAAGTATAGCTTGTCTAATTTTAATATATGGCTTAGTAAAAATTTGGAAAGTCTCATTTTTTAAAGGGAGTGCTGCCCAAATTTTTGCTAATGAAGAAAGTTAAACAAAGTTTGACTTTGAAAAATTAAAGATTACTGTATCTTCATATTTATGCTAGTACAAATTCTAAGAAGACACTTTTCTTACGGAAAGCGTTGCAGAAATTTTTTTAGTTTAAAGGAGATAGATTATATTTTGACAGGTGGCGATTCTGGCAATACCACCCTGACTAGGTTTCTTTGGGCACAGACTTTAAAGGTAGATTTAGGTTTATTTAGTTAGAAGGATTTTGAATAGGTTGTGATATGCAGATTATTCTCTATGGACTTATAGGTTCAGCTTGGGGATTGGTCTGTCCTGTGTTACAGGTCTTCTTGATTGTTTCGATTCAAGATTTGGACTAGATTCAGCTTGATCCTACGAGGATCGTCTACTATTATCATTGATAACAGATCAGTTGCCGATTCGTCGGTTTATGACTCATCTCCAATCCAGTCTTGCCACTCAACCTAAAGGTTTTAGCCCTACGGTTTGAATTGTTTCGTTGTGTTTTCACCTGGACTTTATTGAACGACCATTTAACAGAAGTACTGAATATTTTATTTTGAGAAGTTGCACTAGAGTGAGGCTTGCATGGTTGAAGTAAGGGGTATGAGTGCAGAGAATGATTGAAGTTCACCTCGTGTAGTGCATGGACTTTTGGTTGAATCTTTGATGTGATTGTAGGTATGTTTGTTGATTCAAACTTTGGATTTGACTGCCTACGCTCTCACACATATATATATGGCTGAGAGGAGTCCCGCTGTGACTTTGAGACGTGATCGTCACATGTTTATAACCTTTCATATATATATATACATATATATGTGTGCATATACATATGCTTTGAGTGTTCACGCGGCCTATTGTAACCGCGCGTGAGGGTTAAATAAATTATGTTTCGAGAGAAAAGGGAGATTTTTTTTTATCCTTTGCTTTTTGGAGTTTTTTTATAGTTGGACATTGTAGTCTGTGTCTGCCGTCAAAGTAAAACTCCTTGATTTCACTCTAGGCCCTAGACGATGGAGCTCGTCCCCAAGGCGATAAGAGACGACTGTCACCCCAAGTATGAACGTGTGAGCCACCCACTCTCCGCAAGGTGCAGAAGAGGGCGTGGTTCTCAACCGCACTCGGCGGTTGTGCAGCGTCAAGAGATTAAACCCCTCAAGGCGCGTGTCAGCCGACACTTGAGTGTCGAATGTGACCCTTAAGATTAACGAGGACCGTATGAGCATGGGTACTACATAGTACACCATCATTGCGACTGCTTGCGTATGCATGCATTACGAGTTGATATGAGTTAGCCCAGCGTCGCCTATCCGATTTTCGCATCGAAAGGTTATGGGATGGCTACTGAAGGGACTAAGAGCGTTGTTGTATTGCTTGTTCTGTGTTGTTTCATGTGTGTAAGTGTTGTGGTGTAACGCGTGGTGAGTTGGAGTTGGGTAAGTCCTAATCGACCGACGACGAGTCGTGTTTGGGACTTCAACCCCCCAGCGTGTCGATTCGCGTGTGGGTCCGATAGAGGCATAAAGCCGTGCGTACCCCCTACGCTACAACGAACGAGAAATGCCCTCGGCTGGTCCACCACTGCGACTGCAACTATTTCGCTTTCGTATTGTGGAATTGTAGCTCGGCGGGAATACGCCCACCGAAGTGAGGTGACATCTCCCGTAAGGTGGAAATAAGCCGTGCCTCGCGTAGGCTCCATCCTGTCGTAGGGGCTCGTGAGAGGTATGGCTGGCGCACTCGGCCGAAGTGGCTTGCGGAAGCTCCATGTCTATCCGCGGCGAGGATCAGACCGACTCCTGCGTGATACGGTCGGGAGGGTCCCGCCCCGTTTTCTGCGGTGCTGGACCAATACACTCGACATCGCCATAACAAACATC